ACTGATTAAGATGTTGGATTGGGTCCCAACATTTGAATGGTGCTATAAATTAGGACTTCGTTTTGGATATTTCTTGTGCGAATTTTCTCACACAGGTATTAAATAATGACCATAAACGTCACTCGTTGTAAATTGGGTATATATCTTTTCTGTTGGCAAAGGCATACTTAATAGCAAGCGCAAATAACAGTGAAAGCAGACGATACGATCGGTAATAGGGGATATCGAGTCATAACGGTGGCGGCTTATAAAACAGAAAAAAATGGAGAGAGACGGCGGAAATTAGGGCGGAGATTTTTTCTCTTTGCTGGATCTAATTTTAACAAAATGAGAAATCCGGTCATTATGAAAATGTGAATATATATATATATATATATATATATATATATATATATATATATATATATATATATATATAGTTAAATTCCCAGATGAATTCTGTGGACAAGACAAATTGGTATAAAATGACAATTGGAAAAAATCTTAGATTTTGCCGACGCATTTCGTCTTCCGACTTTTCAAGGCAAAAATGAAATCGAAATGTTTTTGTTGTTATAGTTACATTAAAAAATCCAAATTTAAAAAGATAGACGCTTCTGTCTAAGCCTTTTTTTTCTGGTTAATGTTAATTACCTTTATAGTAAGGTTTTTTTTGCCATGTCGACAATATAGTTAAATTCTCAGATGAATTCTGTGGACAAGACAGATTGGTATAAAAAATCTTAGATTTTGCCGACGCGTTTCGTTTCCCGACTTTTTCAAGGCAAAAATGAAATCGAAATGTTTTTTATATATATATATATATATATATATATATATATATATTGTCTATATTTAGGCAGCAATTGATGCATGTTTCATTAAATAATATAGAGAAGTTTGTCTATTTTAAGTAAGTTCCTTTCATATTGTCTGATAAGTTTAATAACATTATCATTGAAGGATGAAAGGAAATCACCATGTTGATACATGTTTGAATCCAATCTAAGCTTTCGGCTAACATAAGCCATTATCAAAGATGACAATTACTTTTCAATATATCAAACAATACCCGGACCAGTAATGATTTTGTTGCATGAAAAATTTCAAAGCAACGACTAAATCGTGCAGACAAGACGCGGAAGCGAAAATCGCGTCGCAGCTCGTGACGTCACATATAACCACGCGAGAGTGAAAACGAGAAGTATTATATATGAGAAGCCGTTGGTATAAACCAATGGCTTCTATTATCAATTATAGGCATTTAAGAATGTTTGTGGAGATTTAATAGTTTATTTTGTTCAGGTTAGGTTTTAATTGTTTTATGTATGTTGCTTCAAGGATTTTTAGTTTTTGTTCATTGTTTTAATATACTTTTGCATAGGGTAATTTTGAACTTTACCAAAAAAACAAAAAATGGATTCAACCACGAGTTTTTAATTTTCCATTCCACATACAACTAAAACAACTTTACGAGATATTGCTTACCAAATATCAGGCAAAATGGCGAACATAAACTAAAGTTATAACAGAAAATAACATGTATCCAATACTTATGCGTGTCACTGTATATATATATATATATATATATATATATATATATATATATATATATATATATATATATATATTTTTTTTATTTATATATTTTGATCTATCTATCTATTTTACTTTATATATTTTACTTTATTATTATCTGTTACTTTATCTATCTTTTTACTTCTATCGATCTATTTTTATCTATCTATTTGTACTTCAATTTTTTTTACTTTATCTAATTATATAGTTATCCTTTTTAATTTATCTATATATCTGCCTATCGGATTACGGTCATACAACATTGAAACACAGGTTCTAGTATGATCACCCATGTTAACAAACGTAGGACCTAGGCAATACCAAGATGGCTAAACGCTTGTCTGACTGCATGGACGTGCGAGTGGTTTAATGGACAGAAGTTCACAATTGAAAATCGGAGAGAGCCATGTTCTAACACCAGTCGGGTTCGATATAATTAATTTATACTCAATTACACTTGGGTGAAGGCATTGATCCACCTCTTCTCCCTCCAACAATGTGTTAATTAGTAGGACTAGTACGAATAAATAATAATTATATGTGTCGTGTAACTTCGGGTTTTGCTGAGTTTGGTTTATTTTGTTTTACGACATATCAACCTTAATGGATTATTTACAGAACAAAAGATGAAATTAGAATTTTTATTATTGCATTATTCCAAAATTTTAACACATCAGCAGATAGCTAATAATGTCAACAACTGTGCATAAATAGTTATTAATTTAAAAAAAATAGTAATTAATGTATAATTTTAAATTTATCAATTAATAGAAATAAAACAAAATCATATTAGAAAAATCATAGCAACAAATGAAAAATCAGAAATCAGAATGGTTAGTAGTAAAGAAATCTGAATGAGATATCTTAACATACGCCCTTTTCTGGCTTCTCAATGAACTCTGACCTTCAAAAATTTGAATGCAATGTCAGTCTTTATCTTCTGTCTTCTTAATTATTGTTCTTTCATCCTTAATAGTGTCTTTTTGTTTTTCATATTATCTAACGCTCAGTTATCTCGATGCGTCTTAGTGGCTTTCTTGCCCTGCTTGGTGGTGAAAGGACTATAAAAATTGTCTGTAAAAAATGAAAATACATTTGATGCACACTGATCTCTATCTATGAAAAGCAGGAAGTGTGTCTATGTGTGTAACGAATGCACGGTCGGAATTTTCGACGGATTTGCACCAAAATTTACATGCACATGCTCCAATTTAACGGGAAGGCCAAGACCAACTCCCATCGATAGTAGAAATAATCGATTTTTTCATGCTTCTACGGCAATTTTCATGTAGTTTGCGGCCATTTTGTACTGGCCAGAGTGGGAGCCTATAGCTGGCTGCCACGAAAAGGCAGGAAGATTATATTGGTCAGCGTGAGAGCCAACAGCTGACTGGCACGAATGTTAAGTAGCATGCTACCATGCCAAAAAAAAATCGATAGCTGCATTCGTCACAAGTGGGAAAAATTTAAATCTGTATGGCACTTTACTCCAACTCGCTCATTCGCTTGCTTAAACTCAACGTTGATTCTGATTCCGCAGAACTGTGTTGGGTGTGAAAAAGTATTTGTTGTTAACATTCTTTTTTCATTCGGTTTTTCCAGTTACGAGTCCTTTTTTAAAGCTGATCGTTTTGTGTTCATTTTGTTTAGTTCTGTTTTCGTAACAGATTTAATGTTTAGTATAGAGCTTAGAAAAAATTCGCAGTGTGAGATAGGCAAGAAGTAAGGCATGGAGCAACATCAGCACGGCAAAGGGCACCCCTTTAAAGGCAAGGAAGGGCAAAAAAGTGCTGTTTTTTAATCTAGCAAACATCACTGAACTTGGTTTGGTTTGGTTAATTTTGTTTTACGGCATATCAACCTGAATGGGTTATTTAATGCCGACAACATTTTTAGGATAGATTCGTATGAATAGAATATGTATTCTTTGGTTTAGTTTGGCTTGGTTTATTTTGTTTTACGGCATATCAACCTCAGCGGGTTATTTAATGCCGACAAAAATTTTTATTGATAGTAATATTTTGTTTTGCCAAAAATCTGTCTAAGTTGGCATCTCGGTACCACCCTTTCACTGTCGAAACATTTAAATGGAACCACCTCTTCTACTCCAACAGCTTCTTCTCTCGCATTTCTCGACAGTGGAACTCCCTTCTTCCTACTTGCTTCCCTGATAGCTACAACTTTCAAGTATCCAGATGTAATGTCAATCGACATCTTCTGATGTCTTCATCCCTGATTCTTTATATCCTTTCCTCAAACACCCCTCTTTACTCTTGCTCTCATTCTCTGCAGCCCCTTGCGATCTAAGGGAACTCCCACCTTACTTTGGGTGAAATGCTTAAAAAAAAATCTTTCCCAATTCCATTGAAGCTTCGAATTTATTTGTCACATTTTCCATCGTCTGTTAGCGGTGAATACGTTTTTCCGAAATATCAAAATATAGTCGTATTCCTGACAACCGGACTAGAAAGGACTTCCAGATATGAGGAATTAGTTACAAAGTCCGGATATATTTAGATTAAAATAAAAAAAAAATCACGTTTAACGTTTATTTTCAATGTTTTATACTGGACAAAATAAGCTAATGGTGAGTGAAATATAACGGAATTGATTTTAAGGAAAATGAAATAAATTATGTAATGTTAATGAAAAATCATTAAATGAAGTATGCCACGTATGCAAAACAAATAATGTAACGAGGATTTTTTAATCGCTGTTGTATGATGATTTTTTCTCTTTTAATGTCATTCTTAACTTTATCTGCGTTTAACGTTGCTTTTGTTCGTGAAGTTTTTTAAACGAAAGTCAATTTTTAACTCTACGTGCATTATTGCAATCCTCATAGCTGAATGCTGGCTTTCTTTCCATAAAACTGGCGAACTTTTCAATAGCTTTTTCAATTTCACTCCAGGTTTTATCACAATCATGTTTTTATTTTCTTGTTCATTGTGACAATGTGAACGTTAGAGAATAGTTTCTTTGGAAGATTTTATATCATACAATGTTGACTTTCCTATGTTGAACACGGCCATTAGTTACAATGAATTTTCACCAGCGTCTAGGCTGTTTAAATTTTCCCACTTTTCGCGTTAAATCCAAAGTTGTTTTTTTTTTCTTTTATTCCCATCATCTTTTGCACCAATACAAGCCATTAGGGCGAAATATGCATAAGCAATTATCCAAAGTATATTTCCTGGAAAACGGAAATTTCAAATCAGTTATATATCATTCAAATAGTTCAAATATACATATCAAAACCATCTCCGGATAAGCGGGATTCCGGATATGAGGCACTCCGGACATGAGGGATTCCGGATATGAGGGATTCCGGATATGAGGGATTCTACTGTATAGTTAATGCCGGTGTTTACTAGCCTATAATTAATACACCTATTATCAATAAAGGAGTTTCATTTTGATTTTGATCCTTAATGCCAGATTTTATGGTGGTCAATAAAGGGTGAAATAAATGACCAATAATATTTCGGCCCTTTATGTAAACACAATGGAAAATCATACTTAACATGAAGAAGAGACAGCTGAAATTTCAAGGGAACATAATGAGGAAAGAGAGTTTGGAAAATGTGATACTCACAGGGCCGATTGAAGGCAAGAGAAACAAAGGAAAACAACGTATAACATACTTAGCTTGAGTAAATGGAAGGTGGAATAGTGTTTGGGAGAAATAACAGAAAGACGAAAATTATTAAGAGCTACAAAGACAGGAAATTGTGGAGAGCCTCAATCGTCTATGTCCTGATGGAACACGACACATAAAGAAGACGTAGTTGTGCTTCGTTTTCAATATTGACCAGGTCCTAGATCAGCCGAATATTTCTAAACGCCTAAACAGTTTTTTTTTAGATAGAAAAAAAACAGTAAATATAAAGAAAAATCCTTTAAAAAACGTTCTGGATAAAGTACGTCCAACAGCAAGGGCTCTGATCAGGACGTTTTGAGGAGCGCCGTACCGCCTCTTAATTTCTGGTGTTCGCATGTCCAACCTAACCCGGGGTAGCAGCACCTGTTAGGGTCCCAGCTATGGACAAACAATTAATCCCCAAACTGGTGTCGGATCACTATGAAAGTGTAAAAATGGGTTTTGATACGAGCAATATATTTTTGTAAAAATTTTTACCAGCAATGAATTTTTTAAGAAAAAAAATATTATCTGCAATACATTTAAAAAAAATATTACCAGCAATACATTTAAAAAAAAAATTACCAGCAATACATTTAAAAAAATATTACCAGGAAGAAAAATCTTGCTGGATTAAATAACTGTTGTGTGGGAACCTACCACCCCTCTTGAAGATGAACTCGTCTACAACCAAGGACGTAAAATAGTGGCATTTAAAAAGACAGTGTCGAAGAAGTTCTTGGGCTGAGTTAGTTATAGACTACTCAGGCGATATCTGTACCAACTTACCAACCGAATAAACCCCATTTTATTGTTACATGTTATTTGGCGTTTGTCTTTATTAACCCCAAATTAACATCATAACAATAACCCATTGAGGTTGATATACCATAAAACAAACCAAACTAAAGAAAACCTTTAAAGAAAATGTTGAATTTAAGTCCCACACGTTCGATCTTACTGAGACAACTATCTTCTCGTTGGCAAAGATGTAAAGACTTAAATAGTTCATATGATGATTGATAATCTTAGTTGTCAATAAATTCACTAACTATTCATATTAATATTTCAATTCGGCTATTATTTCCCGGACAATCTAATATATTATTAATCTATGAGATTACAAGAAATACATTCACATCCATAAATCTTTCTCTCTTTTCTTTTCTTCTTAGTTTATTTTCCCCAGGTCTCTATTTTCTTCCATCTTTACCTTCGTTTCTCACTCTCCCAAATTATATCCCACTTTTGTTTTAATTCCTTTCTGCTTCTTGCTTCCATTTTTTTTTCTTCTCGTGTCTTCATTTCCCTCTCTCAGTTTCTATATCCGTCTCTCTCTTTCTCTCTCAATTTCCATATTTATTTCTCCCTCTTTACATACTGTCTCCATTCTCATCTTCTCATTTAATTTCTCTTCCGCTCTCTTTTCACTCTCTTTATATTTTTACTCACCCTCTTTCTATCTCCTCTTTATTTTCCTAAAGGTCTCCCCATATATCACTTCCGGTTTAACACTCGTTCAATTTTTCTCTTCCCTTGTCTTTATTTCCCTCTTTCAGTTTCTATGTCCATCTCTCTTTTTCTCTCTCAAATTCTATATTCGTCTCTCCCTCTTTACACTTTTCCCCGCTCTCGCCTTTTCATTTAATTTTCCCTCCCACTCTCTTTTCAATCCCTCTCTATTTTTTATTCACCCTCTTTCCATCACTTTATTTTCCTAAATCTCTCGCTATCTTTCATTTCCGGTCTAACTGCCGCTTCAATTTTTATCTCTACTTACCTGTAATTGATCCCCCTCTCGACTTCTATATTTGCCTCTCTCTTTCTCTCTCAAATTTTATATTTTTCTCTCCCTCATTACAAATTGTTTCCACTCTCAACTTCCCTTCCTAAATCTCTCGCCATCTTTCGCTTCAATTTTTCTTTCTTCTTATCTTTATTTTCCTCTCTCAGTTTCTATATTTGTCCCTTTTTCTCTCTCAATTTGTATATTTCTCTCTCTCTCTTTCTCAATTTTTATATTTCTCTCTTTACAACCTTTCCCCACTCTCACCTCCTCATTTCATTTCTTTCCTACTCTCTTTTCAATATTTTTACTCACTCTTTCCATCTCCTCTTTATTTTCATAAATCTCTCGCTATCTCACTTTATGTTCCGCCTCTAGCTTCAATTGTTTTTTTTTCTTTTCATTACAACCACTTTTCAGTTTCTATATCTGTGTCTCTCTCTCTCTCATTTTCTATTTACACTTTACTACCTGTCTCCCCACTCACTTTCTCTCTACCATGCTCTATCCCCACACTTTTTACTGTCTTTACTTCCTTCTCTTCTTTTCCTCTCTTTCATTCCTTCATTTCTTTTCCTAACTCTCTCTCTCTTTCCTTCCTTCTTTAATTCTTTCTTTCTTTCTTTCTTTTTCTTTCTTTCTTTCTTTCTTTCTTTCTTTCTTTCTTTCTTTCTTTCTTTCTTTCTTTCTCCTAACTCTCTTTCTTGCCCTCCCCTTTCTTTCTATCTTTCTTTCTTTCTCCTAACTCTCTTTCCTGCGCTCCCCTTTCTTTTTTCTTTCTTTTCTCCCTTTCTCCTGTCCTCCCTTTCCTTCTCCTTTCTTTTCTTTCTTTCTTTCTTTCTTTCTTTCTTTCTTTCTTTCTCCTAACTCTCTTTCCTGTCCTCCCCTTTCTTTCTTTCTTTCTTTCTTTCTTTCTTTCTTTCTCCTAACTCTATTTCTTTCTTTCTCCTAACTCTCTTTCTTTCTTTTACTTCCTCTCTCACCAACATCTCCCTACTTGCCTTTCACCTCTCATTTTTCCACTCTCTCGGTCTTTACTCGCATTTTACACCTTTTTTCCTCACTCACGTCTGCCTTTTCTCTCTCGCTTGTCTTTCCTTTCTCTTCTCTGTCCCTCTCTCGACCGTTCTGTGCCCATCTCCCTCTTTCTGTCTCAGACATCAAGCAATGACTTGAACGACATTTTGCTGCTTATAGCTCAATGATCCTATCGCCAGACAAGCGATGTATGCAATTCACAGCTTGATTAATAATCTTTATTTGAAATATGTTGGCTCATCGTTCACTTTTGTCTTCGACTTCAATCTTGATTTTTCCGAATAACCTTTAAGCTATCATTTAATTTCAAATTATCCGCCTTTCACTCTCCGTTAATACTGTGGTATATTGTCAAACACCACATTTAAAATATAAAACTTATCTGTTAATTTTCTTGTTATATATTGTCTTGAGCGTTCTTTTTCCTTTGTATAACGTTAATAAAAGTAGATTAAAATGGTTTTAATTTGAAAAAAAACATTGAATTAAAAGGTCAATATTACAAATAAATTTGTCAGTTTAAAAAAATTAATATATGAAAAAAATATTTCCCTTTTTACTTTCATTAAACAAATAAAATGGCTTATAATTCTCACAAATATTTTGAATAAAACCAGAAACGCCTTGTAGCTATTTGATATAAACATTCACAAATCTACATGGATACCGTATATACTTGTGTATAAGTCGATTCATGCATAGCACGAACCCAGAATATTTTTGTATGTATTTTAACCTCTCCAGAAAAAAAAATACCTATATAGAGTGTACCCTGTCACGGAAAATGCATGATTTTTAAACTAATTAAAAGAATTACGTCTGTATAGTACTACCCCTACTTTGCGTAAAAACTGATAAAAAAATCTCCACTATACTCGTGTATACATGTTAATTATGATTGATTTGGGTTTTTTACGGCTTATCAACCCTTTGCAGGCTAATTATTAAAGATGAAATATATTTTGGATTTTAAGGATAATTATTTTTGTTGCGAGGCATTTTTTTAAATAGCGACTATTCTTCAAGTTACAAGTCATACTATTTAACCCATAGAAGGGGATTTATACATTTTTCAATTTGTGCGCAAAGGAATATAAGGAAACCGACAGGAATTCGAACTTAGCTCATCGAATTATCATTTCTGCATCTATCCATTTCACTAAACGTTTCTCTTGGTATTCATGAAAATTAAACCTGCTTCATTTTGCCGTGGGCTCAAACACCAATTTAAAATAGGATAGATATAGAATTTACTTTATAATAGGTTTGTTATATATTGCCTTTTGTGTTTTTTTTTTTGTTTTTATAGGATAAACAAAACTGAAGGAAAAGACAGAGGGTTATATTTCTAAAACTTCAAATTAAAAAATTAATATAAAGAATGCCTTCTAGAAACTAAGCAATGTATTGAGAGAAAGGAACATTTCGTGAGATACAAAGAAAATAGTTCTGAACTGCTTTATCGTATCTATGATCCTGTATAACATTGCACCCTGAATTGCCGATGATGAAAAGAATTCAAGCGAAAGCGAAGTGGTTCTACAGAAGAATGCTGAGAATAACATACACTGAAAATATGAGCTACGAGGAAAATCTAAAGAAAATTAGAAAGATACTCACATTTAAAATCAGAAAGAGTTGAATTTCCAGGGACATATCATGAGGAAGGGCGGTTTGAGAAAATTAATACTCACAGGTCGTATTGATGGAAGTAGGGGTAGAGGAAAACAGAGAACAGTTTACCTAAATAGTTTGCGTTGATAAATGCCTGAGCAGGGACAAAGAGGAATAGTAAATTGTCAAAAGTTGGTTTCAGGTACAAGATAGAATAAGTTACGGAGAGTCATGACCATCCACGTTCTGAAAGATGATGATATTAGTACGATATAGCAAAGATAAACATACCCCAATATAAAAACAAATCAAACGCCGAAATTTAATTTTCTTGGGAGCTTTGAAGTAATAAATATATGTTATTCTGCTTTCACAGTTGAATACATGGTAGATGATACTCAGCTTTTGTGCATATACATGTTTGTGGGGACATGATTACTAGAGGCAGTGCTATGTGTGTTTTGGATTGTAGTTTTGTTGAAGTTGGAATGCAGTTTGATTCCTTTAAGGAATTGTAGGACATTATTTAGATTAATGTCATGTGCTTTCATTTTGAGTGATGTGTTGTTGGTAATTTTATTATAAATATCTATTGTTGGTATTTTTTATATAAAAATGTATTGCACTATTTACATTATTCGGACTATTTTCCTCATCTTTGTCACCATATTTATTACAACGTTTCGGCCATTGTACTCCCGGCCTTCTTCAGGTGGTTGGAATGTTGAACTGAAGAAGGCCGGAGCGTACAACGGCCGAAACGTTGGCGACAAAGATGAGGGCAATAGTCCGAATAATGTAAATAGTGTACATAATACCTCATCTCAAAAATATAGACAGATACCAAAATGTATTGTGTGTATTTTTACTATAAGAATGTATTTTTATACTTTTATAGTCCCTGTCTGCTGTGGCTTCAGAATACGCCGACAGCATCTCTGCAGAGGGGTAAGATCACTCCCCACCAAATAAGGCCTCTGATCAGGAGAAAGTTTTTTTTTTTTTTTGGTTTAGATAAAAAACTGGAAATATAAAGAAAATTCCTTTAAAAAACTTCCTGGATAAACTACATCCAACAGCAAGGGAGGTTTTGAGGAACGTGGAACCACCTTTTAATTGCTGGTGTTTCCAGGTCTACCCTGACACAGGGTGGTAGCCCCCGTTAGGGTCCCAGATATAGGTAAACAGTTAACCCCAAAAACTGGAGTCAAAACATTATGAAAGTGTAAAAATAGTTTTTAATACCAGCAATAATTTTTAGAAAAAATTATTAGTAGCAATGTATTATTATTACCAGCAACAGATTTTTGTAAAGAAAAAAAATATTGCCAGAAATAAAAATGTTGTTGGCATTTAATAACCCACTAAGATTGATAAGCCGTAAAAAAAAAAAGAAATAATAGAAAAGAAAAAAAGAAAAGAATCAAACAAATTTTCAAAGTGTTTTTTTTTGGGGGGGGGTGAGGAGAGTCACTCTTTGCTCATCGCTGGGACTCAAACCAGTGCTATCACTCCGACGCAGGGTGGACTGAGGAACAACAGCAGTTAAGTGGTGGTTTCAGATTCCTTAAGAGCTTCAGTCTCCCAGTCAGAAGCCTTGCAGCGGGATGTAGTTTAACGTCATACCCAGGACTGAAGTACGTATACAAACGAAAAAAAAAAAAAAAAACAAAGAAAGAAAAAAAAGACTCAACTACTGAAATCATTTTGTTTCTTGGTCTTTATCTTCATCAGTTTCTCTTCAGAAACAACTTTCATTTCGAATTCACCCAGCAAACATTAGTTGTTTTCAAGCTGAGTTTGTATAATGGAGTTATTGATGACTATGAATATTTACACATCTTTAGCTAAGTCTATGAATATTTAGACAAGTCAATAAGTGTATCAATCACAGTCTAAGCGAATAATGTCCCAAAAACGACCAGTAGGAGCATGACAATACAAATTACTATTTATGCCTGCTTAGTCGTCAATATTATCCAGACGACGACCATCAAGTTAGTACGTGCAAATTAATTTTACTATTTCTTTACGTACTATTGTACTGGGTTAATAGCTATGTTACTTACTAAGCTGACCTTTCGAGGGTCAACAGGATCCAGTATTATTTCAGTTAAACTCGTAAAAAATAAATTAATTAATTTTTTCCTATTATTTCATCCCAAGCAAGGCGATAATGCCACTAAGACGCAAAGGATTAATGGGAATGAAACAGAATGAGAATAATTTAAAAGGAACCTACAACCTAATATTAAACAAGAAACAAGCGATAAATCTCAAACC